ATGGTATTTTATTTCGCTTTGCCCTTGCTTTTAGCTTAAGACCGTTCAACAAAATAATTAATCATGGTTTAGTAAAATCCGGGTAATGATCTGAAGGCGGGACGATCTAGACGGCTTCCGAAAAGACTGGAAAAGAGATGTGGAAGGAAGAAAAGGGGGCTTTTGCGGTGTAAAAAAGGCTAAAAAATAATAATTGTAAAATCTGGAAGAGAGATACAAATTAGAAATCTAGAAAAAGTCTTGGCGTGATCATCAGACCGTCGGTATTAAGGGTTCCGAATTGCCAAATCATAGTATTGTCATACAAACTGCATAGGTACACAGTTGCATTTTGATACGACCATTAGAACTAAGTTGAAAACTTCGAAGATTTGCTCACGTAGTGTGTTCAAGGTGGCGTCAAAGTCAACAATTTTTATAACAACTAAAAAGATTGGTCAGCAAAGAGAGCTCTTTCAAAATTTCCATATAGGTCATTATCAACATCAACAGCCTTTGACAGTCCACTGCTGGACATAGGGCTCTCCTTAGAAAATAGGTTTTGGCCGACTATACCACGCTGACAAGACTGGTACTAGAACTGATTTTAAGGCATAAGTAGAAAGAAAGAAAGAAGAATTTATTTTTATAGATGAGTAGAAATAGGATACAAATAATGTTCCAAAAACATTCATTTAAATGGACGCAGAACAACAGCACTGCAAAGAGAAGGAAAACTTGAAGCAAACCCTATACCAACCCGTCTGGCCAGCGTGGTATTGTAGGCCAAAACCTCCTATCTAAGGAGAGGCCTATGTCCAACAGTCGACTGCTAAAGGCTGTTGATGATGATGATGGTGAAGTGGATGTCATATTTAGATTGTAGTCATTTCTTCATCATACAAATCTTAGGTAACTTAATTTTACTTTCATACTTTTAAAAATTTCATTGCATTTCTTAACATCGATATAAACGCAAGTAAATTTGTCTGATGCATATACAACACGTTATTTTAAATGGTTTATAGTAAATCCGTAGTAATTCTTACAACTGAGTACGTTTTCAGTAGGTGTAAGTGTACACGAAAATACCTTATTAGGAGAATACTGGTCTTTATCAAGGTAAGCACGTGTTTCGGCAAAAACTACTCTAAATGGTATTCTTTTTGTAGAAGCGTTCTGAGTCGTGGATCACGGAATAAGATAGTTGAACATGTTTAAATAGGGTAGTCTACCAAACCTTTTTTTTGAAAAGATAACTCCCGCACTAGGAATATATCGTGTGTCGCGGAGGCCTTTCCAAACATACAGAAAACGGAGACAGAGTACATCCAGACTCAGAACGACAGTTTGTGAATCACAAAAGGTGTCTTTCCATGTGGGGATCGAACCCACAACACAGCTTAATAGGATGCTGCGTGGCTACCTCTTAAACCACTAAGAGATCCGTGCATGGTAATGCAGCAAACCGTTACAATAAATTATTCATTGGTCTTATTACAAACAATGGATTATGAATTGGCATGTTGATCTAGTAATCAGTGATCCTGAATGTTAAGTCAGGGGTCGTGAGTTCATTTTTTTTATGTTAGAGGGGGCAGACGAGCAGGCGGATCACCTGATGGAAAGTGACCATCGCCACCTCAGGAGTCACAAACGCGTTGCCGGCCTTTTAGGACGAAGTACGCTCTTTTCTTGAAGGTTTGAAGGTCATTCTTACCCAGAACACACAATTGTGTGATAAGCAAAAACATTTGTTCTGTGTGTTATTTAGTAATACTATGTTAATATATAAGTATGTTTATCTATAATACCAATCCGTCTCGCCAGCATAGTAGAATAGGCCAAAACCTTCTTTCTAAGGAGAGGCGTATGTCCAGCAGTAGACTACAGAGAGATATAGCCTGGTTGTCATAGTACAGGCTGTGCTTGGTTGTTCTTTATTATTATTATTAATTTACTTAGTCAGAACTAAATCAGCAAATGCAATGCTTATATAGAATGGAAAAGTTTTAAAGCAAATGCAATGCTTTACGAAAGAAACATCTTTAAGAAGGACGGTCAATTGTAATATTTTACTCTGTTATTACTTTGTAATAGAAAGGTGGGACGCCAATAAAAAATCACATGTTTCAAAACCTGGAAGTTAAGTAAAACACGGTATTGGTTACTGAAAGTCAAAATAACGATGAAGATAAAAATTGGGAATGGGAGAACAAATACGACAAAACTCTAAGCAATAATTTCCCTTACTAAACTAAGAGTTTTGATATAAATGACAGATTTCTGCTTCCATCGAAAATGCTGGAAAGATGAGGCTCCTCGTACGTGCAGAAAACCCTATTTAAGAGTGTGCGACATTTTTTGATTGAGGACAGAACAGAATAGAGTTCAAAAAACTTCGTGTCGTTTTCTCGGCACATGTTTCTTAGTTCAGTTGAAATATTTAAATTTGAAAACTAATCAATACGCGGTACATTGGCAAATCATTGTCAAATTCTGAAAGTCATCACGAATCATAATGTGTGCGCTTGCGCATGGGGGGCATGCGAAGAGCTAAAAGGGGAGCGGAAGGCAAGAGCGGGCAGGGGGGAGCGCGCTCGTTGCCAAAAATCTAGTCAAACTGGCTCGCTATAGTGCAACGCACTTCTCGATGAATGCGTGCATTGTTACAAGTGGGGTGGAGTCGACTTTTACGAAAATAATTTTAATAATAGTCCACATTTAGAACAATCGAAACAAATTGATCTCACCTTATGCGTCTAAATTTATTTAACCACATCGTTTAGAAGAGCTGATTTATTCAACTCTACATCAAAGCGTGTTTTGCATTGGTGGGAACGTAAGCTATTCAAGGCGGGTGCCGCCCATGCCAGCCATGGCTAGCCAAGGTACTTACTGAAGTACTTTTATGAAGAATTTTAGATTTTATAATTTAAGCAATTGGTTTTAGTTATTAGATTACAAAAAATCGTTGTAGGTTTACAAAAATGTTTGTAGTAAAAACACTTGGACACAGAGAAACAGTACAAAATGTGAATATTGAAAAAGCATAAAAATTTAAGTATCAAATTAAGAATACTCGTACATATACAACAAATTTAGATAAATCGTGAGTTTCTGTTTTATACTACTACTATTGTGAGAAGAAAACATAATTTATGGAAACAAAATTAATTATCACAACAACGCCCTCTGTCAGGATTTCGATATTCTTGTCGTTAGATAGTCATACGAGTCGAGTAGGTGCATCTAAAAACTGCAACTCGATTCGGAGTCTGCGGCGGTTGAGAGGGGGGAGTGAGAAAAAAAATAAAGAGTGTGCGCCGAATTGTGCGGGCGACGACCGGCCAATGACCTGTGTTAGACCTAAGACTTTAAGGACCTAGGCTTCGAGTGGGCGTGATGTTTTTTACCACTTTTTGTTATTTTTATCGTTTATTTTTTGTTGCTGTGGTTTGTTTTGTGTATTTTGATTTGTGACGGTTGGGTTTCGTGCGGCTAACTAAATTTTGTTGTGATCAAATTAATGCTTTTATTATTATTAGATTTTATTTCTAGATTTTTACAAAGACCCTGCAAAATTAAAAAAGAATTTAAGATATAGGGGGACAAACGACAGGTCACTTGATGGTAAGTGACTGCCGACGCTCATGCACGTGAATTTTGAAAGAAGACACAAATATGTTAATATGCTTGAGTCCTCCCCTCTTACAGAATTAGGGGACGGAGGCGGGGCACCAGGGACTTCCTTTCTAGGGTAAACCTGGTTCCCCGGCTATTAGTACCCGAGACGGCTTGCGGTTTTAGTCGGTTCGAGTCCGGCATGCCACCGATAGGTGGTATCCGAGGGGATTTCCACACGGAAATAAAAAAGGGGACGGAGGCGGGGGGATCCGTTAACTTCGGTACGTGCTCAAGTTCATACTTCCCGTTTGGTCCCAAAGGGGAAATATGTACTCCGAATTTGCCAAATTAGTTCTGAGCCAACATAAATGGAAAAAGTACAATCAAATTGCGAATCTCATCCTTTTTTTGAAGTCGGTTAAAAATGCAAATATTTGAGAAATCATACTTTGTTAAAAGAATCACGATGTACGTATTTATATAGCATACAGCTTATACCACTTTGCTACAATGAAAGAAAATTAATCAAGTAGTATCTACACGTGGTGAATGCGTAGCTAACACGTGGTTACACGCTAACGTGCTATTGTTTAAATTTACAAAAAAAGCAGAAAATATATTTAAAAATGATTTTAATTTTTCCATATATGAATTAGTACATTTTAAGTGGGATGTAGTAAGCCTATTGGTACTAACTGGCCATTTTGGGGATAAAAGATGGGGGAATTGGGGGAATAGAAATGAAGATAGTACTATACATGTTGTCAGTCAGTCAGTCTCTTATTTGGTATACAAACTGGTTCTTGCCAGGATTAGTAGAAAGATGGATTATGTGCTTATATCCTTGAATTTTTCTTTTAAAAGACAACTCCGCTCTAGGAATATATCCTGTTTTTCGGGGGACTTTACAAACATATATGAAACTAAATTACTACGCCATCTGTGCAGTCAAAATCTAACTTGGAAACTGTCAGCTGTAAGCGTTTTCTAAATCCTAGTACTATTAAACCTAGTACTAGTAGATTGGTACGAAGACTGAAGAATTAAACATCAATACACTTATCCTATATAGGTTGAGTAATTTTTCATGGCTTTTACTATCATCTATCAACATATTTTATGGGATTTTAATAGAAAGAAATTTGCTTATTCTAAAATATTATTACAAACACATCCTTAAGTTGGCAACACCTGGCTCCGCTTCATTACCTGTCAAAAAGTTGAAATACCGAAAACATTTATTTTATTTTTTGCATTAAAAAAAGAATTATAAACTTCTCAGCTGCCGTAATCCCTTTCTTATCTGTAAAGAAATTAGGCTTAAAATGCTTATTTATTCACTGATACATTCACACTGGCATATACAGCGCATTTCTTAAGTATGAAATGAAAAGATGACCAATATTGTTAGACCTACCACTCTCCAAATGCTTCGTAAGTCCAAGGACAAATTAGGATTTTTACGACATGTTAGAGATCTTTTGAATCTGGTTTGTGCTATGCTGTAAAATACAAGCAATAGCGATAAGAACTTTTTTTTCTTTTTGTTTACGGGGTGGAAAAGGAGCTCCTGCTCCTTGGCGACTCAGGAGCCAGGGGTATGTGGTGATTCCACTAAAATCTTCCCCGACGGCCGGCCTCAGGTACCATACTCTGGGAGGACCCGGACCATGGTATTTCAGGTCCTCCCCGAATTGACACCATGCCTAGCGATTAGGACCTAAAATTCCAAGTTTTTGCTAATTCTTAGTAACATTTATGTTAACTATAGTTTAACGTTGCCTGCACCAAAACTTTGAGCTAAATCCCAATAGATTTTATTACAAGTATTATATAATACTTTATTCTTCTTTAATTAATAACAATTTATGTGACTGTGTGGTGCTAGATTAGCTAAATGAAAATTATTTAATTTAATACGCCATTTGCTATTAACGTATTTATTTCAAACCAGCTGTACCCTACCATGCTTCTTTGTGGTACATTGTAGTTGCATTGGTGAGAAATTTGGAAAAAAACTCGAAAAAATAATAAAAACTGAAATAAATCGTGTCAAAATTTGAGCACAATCGGTTCAAAACTTTTTGAGTTTTGAAGCGCACACAAACCAACTTAAAATTGTTCACTTTAATACTCATATTATTAATGTGAAATATTGTTCGTTTGTTACGCTTTCAAGCCTAAGCTACTAAACCGATTAAAAAAAAAGACCTATGAAAAGATAAATTATCAGCGAGTAGCATAGGCCACTTTTTACTTGAATAACTGACACGTACGCGGGCGGAACCGCGTTCCAAAGCTAGTAAATAATAACAGGAAAACAGAAAATTATCAATCATAATATCTATTGTAATATGTAATTGTAATATGTAATGTACATAGGTAAACCATCTACAATGAACATAATAGAAGAACCATTTCTAAGCCTCTTACACACTATGTTTTGTCTATTAAAAAGCCATATAAACATGTTTTTCTCATAAAGAGTACTAGTAATTACGTAGGTTCCACAATATTACTGCTAATCTAAATATTTGTGTGTGTGCTATCACGTCCGTGGTGCACTAGGTGGGTTTAGAACCTACAACTATTTAATCACAAGGCCGACGTCTTAACCAATACTTTGGTATATGCTCGTTAATTTTAAAAATCATCGCACATATAAGTTTTTTTTTGTATGGATAAATCGCTCTCTCGCCAGCTTATGCCTTAACGCCAGTACGTGGGCGAAGGTGAACGAGCTGTCAATGCAGGTCATTAGCGGACCCTAAAAGCCGAGGATAGTCCTTTGTCAGTGGCAGCATTAGTCATTACGTATGTCATTATGATGATAATAACAGGTGGAAGGAACATGCAATGTTATGTTCTTGATTGTGAAATAATTTTCGAGCTGAACACACTTCAATATTAACGCTACAGTTTACTAATTAAATAAAGTCTTAAGATCAGATAAGAAGAATTGTTTAATTTTGGCCTGTAATATTATAGCTATTAAAACCAGTTTAAGAAATAATTTTAAAGCGTGGAGATATTAGTATATTTAATATTTCATTATGATAATAATAACATTTGAGATACCACATACAATGCCGAATAATCCCAAACTAAGCAAATCCTTTAAAATAATAACTAGACTCTCGATACATATATGTACTGATATATTTTATCAATTATTTTGCTACCACTACCTTTTAATACACTTTGCAGCCTGGATAACGCTATGCAGCAAGGCGGTTTTTGCGAAGCACAATCAAGCAAACAGTCCAAACTGGTACTGTCTGAATTTGGACGCTCACGCATAACCTAGACTAATCAGTATCAATAGCCTAGATATTCGAATAGTTGTACAGCACATCAGGCTTTTTATCGACACTTATCCAATATCAATGCAACGGGCATCTCTCTATGTAGAGGATGTTTAAATGATCACTCTTAAAGAAGTGCCCACGTTATCCTAGGGTGCGAAGGAGTAGCACACAACGGGCACGTATTATCCCGCAACGGAAGCTACGGAAATCCGAAATTCGAAATTCAGTTCAAGGTTTAGCAGATAAATATTTATGATGATATTTATGCCTATATCAAAGAATATAATTGACTGATATATTTAATTTTATTTCTTCTCTTTTCTTTTCAGCTCAAATCTCCAACAGAAGAGAGCACCGAAGGAGATGCGCCTCCCGCTAACGGATCCATCATCACTATGACCTTGAAGAATAATCATTTGATTGTGGAGACTGAAGAGAGGAATGTAAGTAAAAAGATTTTACACGATGATAAAATATATAAGAAGATGAAGATAATAATTCTTCAAAAAAAAAAGAGGATCCGGCAGAGAACCAAGGTCACCAACATAGCCTACCGGATCAGCAAGCTGAAGTGGCAGTGGGCTGGTCATATTAGCAGCAGGACCGACAACCGTTGGGGAAAACGAGTTCTTGAGTGGAGACCGCGTCTCGGCAAACGTAGTGTAAGACGTCCACAGGCCAGGTGGAGTGATGATTTGCGCAAGATGGCTGGCAGGAGCTGGATGCGAGAAGCCCAAATTCGATCTAAGTGGCGTGCAATGGGAGAGGCCTACGTCCAGCAGTGGACTGTGATAGGCTGATGATGATGATGAAATAAAGAGGAACTTCTGTGGACGATTATTCTACTAACTGCAATATTTTTTCTAGTCTTATTAATTTAGGCTTATTTGGTTAGATGTTTAGCAAGTATACTAAATAACTGTCTCATCGTATTTTTTCAGGATATCACCAGAAATGGGCGTGAAACCAAGATGAAATACTCACCAGACAACGATGGCGTTTTTGTCGTTGAAGTACAACAGTCAACTGCCTACAGACCTAACAAAACGATAGTCAATTCCCCTCCTCATGACCCTCAAATCTCTACCAACCAAGCTCTCATACACCGTGTCCCCGAGGAAGTAGATAAGAAGATTGAAGAGGTTAGCGAAAAAAGTAGCAGCAAGTTTGAAACTAAAATTCATGCATTATCTAGCACTGGCCTATCCATCTCTGATTTGAGCATGTCGTCAATAGGTTCTCACAACGTTAGTTACTCTTACAGTAGCCAGATGGGGTATGAACAAGGGCCCTTTGGGTATCCAGTCTATGCTGGTTACGACGTAACATACACCAACGGTCCTGAAAGCATCGTATATGACAATTCACAAGAACCTTTGATAAGCAAAACTCCAACCGATCCTGATAAACCCGTAGTTACTGCCGCAATTTTCAAGCAAGACTCAATTATAGGAAGCGATGCCTTACAAGGTCCAGGGTACTGTATTGAAGGATCGACAGATGGACCTTTATTATCCGACGTCCAAGCAAGAGAGTACAGTTTACAGCATCTTCACGATCAGAAAAAAATGGAAAATGGAATAGCAGTTCCTCCAATTGTGACCGAAAAAGTTGAAAGCGCGAAACCTTTAAATCGAGTTGATAGTCTTCCTACGCGGTTAGAGGACGATGTAGAAAAGCTTCCAATGAAGACAATTAATGAAGATGAATGCCTTCGAAAGGATACGCTGAAGAGTAAGAGATCTTTACCAATCGTAAAGACCGATGCTGTGTACGAATCAGTTCGAGAGATTTTGCCTTCAGGATCACCGAAGTTTGAAAAGTTAATGAACGAGTCACCACCCGGGGATGGTATATATGACTCTCCTCCAATGATCACCATCACAGAAGAAAGTGAATCAAGCAAGAGTGATGGCACAAGCTAATTATCCATTTATGTATGTGTATATAATGTGATTTAAGTTAGTGTTTTGAAGTGTCAATCGGGAAGAAATATCTTGAAATAATAAATTGGAAAAATCGGAACATCGTTTCGAATCAGGTTTAATTGGAGACGTGTTTACTGATCATTGAATCTGCTCCGATAAACTTCATGCTGACTCAGAACGTAAACAATTTTGTAAAATCTACTGTAGTAGTCGTAAGCTTCCAGCCACATTGTCTCATCAAAATCTGTAATGTAGTATTGAATCTTGAACGTTCTATGTGTCGCTCAGTAGGTGATTGTTTAAATTAGATGATACCGGGATATTTAGATTGCTAAAAGGTCTGATTAGAGAACGAGGTAGATGGGAAAATTAGGAGAGATAAGAAGGGATGCCAATGGCAGACAGAGATATTGCTAATTTGGATGGATTTAAGATTATAAGCAGCAGTGAGAGCAGGTCCCTAAAGGCTTTTGCCATGGGACCATACGACCCTTTGCAGATATACCTGCAATAGGTAATTTTCCATTGATTTTATATTTTCAATATTCGTGCCCCAAAATAATGCAGTTCGAAACAAAATTTAGTATATTTTTGAAGGGGTTTGATCAAGCATAGCAGCCTGACCATTCAGATTTCAAGAAATTATTTCGTAACTTTCGTAAAAAAAGCTTGGAACTTTGGTCAGGGTGCGGGACTTAATCGATGCGTCACTATTTTCTTAACGCGAATGGACTATGGGAAATTTCAAGGTTCTTGTATATTATAGCTGTCTAAATAAAAAATAACTTGCAAAATTTGAGGGAGAGAGTAGTTGGGTGCAGTAATTAAATTGAATCGAATTGATTGTATAATTCGATAATAAACTATCTAAATATCTCGGTGGTGTTTAGTAAATAAGAGTGTTGTTTTATATTGAGCGCAAAGAGGTAAATAGTAAAACAATATTATATTAAAATAAAAGCATCAGCAAAAAATCATCTTGTAATCGATTTATTTTGTTTTTTGTTATAAATTTGTTACTATTTACCTATATGACGCAAAGACGCTGTCTTCAATATTGTGTGTATTTATGTTCTTGAACGTTGTGGCCAAAATAGAATTATGTGTAGTATAAGTGAATTTAACTGAATGTTGACAGAATTATATTATGAACTAGTTATTTTTGAACAAACGTCCGTGTGGTGACGGATTAAGAATACAGAGTATTACCATCCCTGTTCATCCCGTAGGTGTCGTAAGAGCCGACAAAGAGAAGGAAATTTGTAACAAACCCTATACTAATCCATCTGACCAGCGTGATATTATACCTCCTTTCTAAGGCTTCACCTATGAACAGCAGACAACTATTAAAGGCTGTTGATGATGATGACACACACAACGCATTTTCCGCAAACTAATTATTAGGTGCATAAAATCTAGGAACAGACAATTTACTTTTTATAATTCTCATACAACCAGTGTAACTCTCAAACGACGACACCTCCCTAGTCGAAATTCATTACACCATTTAGACTGCCGGACTGATTATTTTGTAGTAGGCATCTTCCAGAAGAATTCTGTGAGAGGTCTCGATGTGGGCTTATTCCAAATTTAAAATTATTACATCCGTATCAATCATTCTCAAGAATTATTTCTTAGAATGAATGTTATGATGAAAAAAAGGATTTTTTATTTTATCATCATAAAATACATAAAAATTGACAACATAAAATAATTTTGTCGACATTGAGTTTCTCCATTTACACCAATTTCGCTATTAAATAGTTTAAGATAATAATTATTAACATTATTTTTAAAATAAGGAATTGAAATTTAAAGATAATTAAACTTTTAAGTTATATGCATAATTGCATAGTTTATAAAATTATAATAATATATTATGTTTGTGGAAATATTTATTTTGCTCAGTTTTTTTAATTAGTTTTAAAGTTGTGATAAATCTCTAAATATTTATAAAATCTTATCATTTGTAAAGGTATTTGTCAACTATATATACTACATAAAGTTAAATAATTTTAAAGTTAGAGAGTAATTTTCTTCTATGTTTTTGATTAATTGACTATAGTTTATAATAACATTAATATTATTAAATCATTTTAAATAAAAGCAGTTTTTACTTTCACAAAAAAATACAAAATGTAAACTTAGCTTCTGACAAGTTGACAGATTCCTTTATCATGATTTAATTTCAGCTTTAGAGCCGTCCGAGTGACAAACGAAACCTTCACGTGCCAAGCAAAGCTATTCTTAAAAGAGTTTTATTCAAATAAATATTAGTTTTACGAATGTAAAGTGAGTAAATTTTGGCGCTAAGTTCTAAATTTGCTTGGAGATCAGAAATACGCAGGAATCCGTCACGCGAAAAGTCCCGCGAGAAAACGAGCGTAATACGCGGGAAAAAAAACATTATGAATTCGTTATTTGTAGTTAGATTTTAACAAAATTATTGTGGCAAAGGAATTATCATTTTTTAGAAATGAATGTGTAATGTATTATTAAACACATTTTTTTACCCAAACTTTATATATTTATTTTATTAAATTTCAAAACTCATTGTAATATCAATGCTAAGCAGTTATTTGTTAGGTTTTAAACACAACATTGTAGTTTTTTGTGAATTTATTTAATAGTTGCCATTTTAGTTATTTTAGTATTGCCAGTATTATTATTATAATGATATAAAGATAAGTTGCTCAACGTGATCACTACTTATATTTTAATAAATGATTCAAATAACCGTTGGGATTAATTATTGTTATTACTTATGCGAAATGACAATGTAATCGTGAAAATAGTTTTATTATTGTCTATGACTTTTATGTTTAAATACTAGTGATTATAGAATACTTTATGTACATGTTTTCTACCCATTCGCTTTACGTGTGCCAAAACAAAGTTGTAGAGAAAAAAAAGTTAATTGTTTTGCATGATATTTGTAGTTAAATATAGGTAGGTGTTTTAATTTTTACTACAATGTGATACAAAATAATAATACCAATTGAGTGTGTTACAAGCTTTAGAATTGCCGACAGCGGAGCTAAAACTGGGTTAAATTGTCTGAAAAAATATTATGTAACCGTTTTAAAAAGTCAATTATTCTGAAAAATTAGGGGACATTTTCTATTGACTTATTAACAAATTGCCAAGCTGGTACATAGTCTGCTTGATACTGCAGAGATTTGGTTGATTGACGAGCCTGTTGTCTAGTGGTACGTGATCCTGACTGCTAAGCCGGAGGTCGTGGGTTTGATTCCCTACTAGGACAAATAATTGTGTGATGAGCACGATCATTTGCTTTGTGTCTGGGTGTAATTTATCTATAATATGTATGTATTTAGCAATATTTAAGTATGTTTATCGACACTCTGTTTACCATAGTACAGGCTATGGCTAGTTTGGGATCAGACGGCCTTGTGTAAGATTTGTATTGTAAAAAAAGACCAGATGGACTTGGAATAGGTTTTTTTTTAAATATTAAATGACAAAAGCGTTCAATAGGCTCGGTCTACTCCTTTGGGGATAAAGATACGAGTGTTTGCATGAGACGTATATAGCGAGTATTCGAATGCCAAAGAAAATGTTACGAAAAGTCTTTTTAAACCGGTCACATAGTATTTTAATTATTAGTTAGTAAATGTATATTAATTTGGTGTAGGTAGGCTAGTTGAGGAAATAAGCATTTGACAAATTATAGATAGCCCTAAGAATTATTATTGTACGTGAATTGATTTAGTTCGCATCGACAATTTTGATGTTTTATTTGAAGTTAATTTTATAAAATAAATTTAAAGTGATTTGCGGCGTAATTTTTTTAAGAGTTTTATTATGAATCCTCTACACTTTGTATTTATATTTTTTATGGTGTATAGGATAAACTAGCAGGCAGACAGGCAGTGATTACCGCTGCACATCGACATCTACACCTCAAGATTCTCACTCAATGAAATGCAACAAAAGAGTTGTTTAACACCAGTTACACCACCAGTTAAACCATAAACAGTTGCGATTGGTGCAGATTCAAATCTTCACCAATCACAACGCCGAACGCGCTCGCTGTCGAGAGCGAGTTGATGTACCTCCTTAGGTACCTTGCTTTAGGACCTCAGAAGGCCAATTCTCGTAATAAAAGTTCGGTCTGATTCAGTTCAGATCTCGATCGCGCAACTGTGAAAGGTGTGCTCAGGGAGCAAGCGACGCAGGACAACAGCACAGCAAAGAGAAGAAAAACTTGAAACAAACCTTATACCAACCCGTCTGGCCAGCGAGGTATAGTAGGCCAAAACCTCCTTTCTAAGGAGAGGCCTATGTCCAGCAGTAGACCGTTATGGGCTGTTGATGACTACTGATAGACTCATAGTGTGGATCCGTGTGGTGACGGATTAAGAATACAGAGTGTCACCACCCCTATTCATCCCGTGGGTGTCGTAAGAGCCGACTAAGGGAGAAAACTACGCAGAACAACAGCACTGCAGAGAAAAGGTAAACTTGATACGAACCCTATATCAACCCGTCTGACTAGCGTGGTATATTAGGCCAAAACCTCCTTTCTACGGAGAGGCCTATGTCTAGCAGTGGACTATTAAAGGCTGTTGATGTGATGATGATGTGTGGATCTGTAAAAATTTTAGCCACAAATTTCGTTTTCGCTATCTCTGTGTGTATCAGCTACTGTCGATTTGCACGAATACCAGCTTAATATTTTGACAGACGTATATATGATCAGAGATATAATATTATCACTATATGCACATAAAAGACTAATACATTTACAAAACACAATCATTATGAAACAACTAGTTATTAGTCAACTATAAACAGAATCATTTTAAAGATTTTTAATGATTATACTCTGAATAAAAGTATTTTTTAATTTGACAGCTCGATGATGACGACGATGATGATGAACCTCACTCACTCGGTGAAAAGGAAAGAAAGAATTATTTAACACCGGTTTTCTGTAAAGCCCTGGTATCACTCTGGTAGAACCGGCCCATTTG